TTTGTCAGTTCGGCGAATGTATTTTTTTCACTGTTGTTCTCTTTATTTTACGTTTTACTGTGCGTGTGTATTTTCGGCTTGTAAATTTTTCGTTTTTCTTCATTTCTTTTTTTTGTTTAAAGTTCATAATTGTGTCTAAGAAAAAATAAAAAATAAAAAATATTAATAAATCTTTAAATATACATTTCATTTATTGATGGGCATTATATTCAAAACCAATTTAGTCTATTATGAAATAAGATCTTTGATTATTTTTAACTTAAAAACACTAAGAAGTCATACGGAAATCAAAACAAAATAGAAAATATAAGATATTTTAGTTATTAAATATTAATTTGACCAAAAATCATTGTTCGATCAAAACTATGGAACAAAAAATATAATCTATAAACTATTACCGAATCCAAATGTCATTACTGTAGATTTTGTAATTTACTCAAATTTCAGTATTTGTCACATGATCATTACCAATTATGTTACAGATGAAATGTTCTTTAGCTTATTGAATACCTCGATTATGACGATTAAGTAATTTTTTTATCAATAAAAAACAACATGAAAATATTTCATTTCTTTCCTTCTAAAATGTTTCGCACAAATAATTCTAACTAATAGATTGACTGCTGTGAGAACACATTATTTGTCTAATATATTTGAATACTTCTCATGAGTAATAGCATTCATCTTTTTAATACTTTGTCAGTAACGAGTAGATGACAGCCTTCAATAATAAATACATGTTGCCAGATTAGTCATAACCTGTCATGCACACTACAACACATCATTACAGTAATAAACGTTATAGCCTTTGAAGAAAAATATTCGTGTATTATTCGCATTTCTTTCGAAATTATTTTCATGAATCACTAATCATTGATAAGAATAGATGAAATGATTACATGAATACTTTCTTTCGAAACATTATTATCTTTGGTCATTTGAAATAAAAGAAACAAACATTTTACTTGAAATTTGTACTACATACACCAAAAATAAAGCATATCGTTTAACAAACACATGATGATGTGTTTTTGCCTATCAACTATTGGTACCAGAATTTCGTAAAATTGCAATTAATATTTTTCAACCAATCAAGAGAAAAGATGTTTCATAGAAACATAAAATGTTATTTTTACAATATAATTGATTATAAATGTTTGTTTGCTTAAAGATAAAAATAGTTTTGACGTACACAATAGTAAATTGAATTTGAAAAACTACTCCATTCTCGTGATTCATTTTATAACCAATTTAAAACAAAAAGTTTTAACAAAAATATTTATAGATGAAAATATCTAGAAAGAACTCATTAAAGATTTTAACTATCAGTAATAGTTTGGAATTGAAAATTAGATTTGAGAAAAACGGAATTGATCAAGCTCTCTAAAATAAAATTGATTGATTTGCCAAAGAAACTGATAGCTTTATCGTTTATCTTTGTTTTTGTTAACGATAGAAGTTGAATGTTTCTTTCGAAAATGAAGAAAGTTTATGAAAAAAAGTCTTTACGAATAACATATAATTCTAAACTATAATACTTATCATATCTATTTACGATAGTTTCAGTTATGTACTTTATTTACTTCGAGAAAAACCAAATGTAATCAGATAAAAATGTCTCTACCAAATAGAATTTCATCCTGCAAAATTATAATTTTACATAAATCAATGAAAACTATAAGAAAATGAATGTTTCTAGTGATCGGTGAAAAACTGGTCCCCATGAAAGTTTATTTTTAATGTCAGAATTTATGAAACATATTGAAACTTTTCAACTTTTATTCTTTAAAGGGTTCTAAATAGAATAAATTTTATATATTGTTTTTTTTAAACTCTCAAATAACCATACACATCGATCACTTTTGACTAACACAAAAACGTTTTCGATAATTCTCGAGGTCGAAGGAAATGTACAATTCTTACATCTTGAAATCACCAATGTTGCAATGAAGATCTTTCAAATTTTAATCCAAAATAAATATTAAGTTTTCAAAACAACGAGTGATAAGGTCATATTGAGTCATGCTTATGAAATTTATCTAAAAGCTAAAATTCATATGAATGCCGCACATTAATAAATCAACGGGTGTTGTCTATCGAGGATGTTAGTTGTATATATTTTATACTTTTCTTTGTAATATATATTTTGCTTACAAAATTTTAAAGCAAATATAGAAACAGTCAAAAAGTACAATCTATTCACAACTTCAAGATTACTTCTTTTATGAATTAAAACATAGAGTAATGTTGCGTTTGTTTTTTATCAATACTAACAAAAACAAACTCTCTTGATAAATAAACGAAAGCAAAAAAACAAGATCGAGTTAAATATAAAAAGTACAGATCACAAAATAAGAATAAAAAAACAAAAAGAAAAAGATCAAGTGAGAACAAAACAATGACAAAATACATAGTGAATCACGATAGAGACGAACAATAAAATAAAAATTTCTTTGAGACAAATACAATCCAAACAATTCGAAGATCATATCTTTTTTTCGACATCTTGAGTTTTTTCAAATCTACAATAGAAAGATATTTGACAGATAATTTTGATTACATATCCAGTACTTACTATAAAACATTAATTTGTTGTTGACATATTCCAATACAATCACCTAACTAATTTTAAATTTCTTAAAAATTTTATTAATAACGAGAATAATAATTAATTATTCCAATCAGCAATAAAAGGAACCGAAACCAAAATAGAAACTCAAAATCAACCACGTTAGTATTTCGATCCACATCAACCTTAGAGCCTGTTGGGTTCAAAATTTTCGGACTTGATTAACAGATAAATTTCGATCTAGAACTAACCCGATGATACTCTAATCAACAACGAGATTTTCTTTCTTGGTGTATGTGACAAATTATTCAATATGTCATAAATTGAAAATTTGGCTCTGAAAACAGAAATTGTCTTATATAGCAAACAATCATCGACAGTCTACATACTATGCGTCGTTTTACACGTGAGGAAAGTTAGCAGCGGATTCGAGTATTCCTTGCTGACATTCGCTCATAGACCTGGGTTGAGTTCAAAAATACTTGGGCTAGATGTAGAATTAAATTCTCTATCGAATGGTGATATTCTCAAGGGGGGTTATCGGGCACAAACTGGGGGTTTTGCCCGAAATACTAGGATTTTGCGTACCTCCTGGGAGTAACCCCTGCTGACATTCGCTCATAGACTTGGGATGAGTCTAAAAATACTTGGACTGGATGTAGAATTAAATTCTCTATCGAATAGTGATATTCTCAAGCGGGGTCATCGAGCAAAAAGTAGGCGTTTCGTGTGGAATATTGAGTTTTGAACCTAATATCGATTGTCTTTTTGTTGATTGTTTTGTTATCTGGACTCGAAGTTTTACGAAGGAAAAATAAGGAATAGTTTCTTTTTGATATTATGCTATGATGTTAATTACCAGATGTAGTCAAGCTGCTATATGTTTAATTAATTCTGAACAGTAGTAGAAAATCTGTGAGCATGCGTAAGTATATGGTATTGGGGAGCCATGAGTGATCTGCTAGGCTATGGGTGNAGTATCTCAGCAACAATAAGCTAAGAGTCTCGAACTTTTTTTCACGATATTTATAGTTCATTAGAGTATACAGTGTGCACATTTTGATATTTCATTATTCGATGTTGATATTAAACTTAATAATACTTTGAATAATGTACAATCTTTTTCCTAGATACACATGTCTCGATTAAGATATTTTAGAAAAATGTCATATGTATGAATTAATTAGCAGCTTCGTATATTCTAATTTTACTAGTAAAAAAGTATACGAAGTTCGATGAGTAATATAAATATATATATTGATCTTAACTGTTTGTGTCATTATTATTTTGACCTTTTATTGATTTGACAATCGAAATGAATAGATTACAATTGATCAGACTTTCTTCTTCATATATTTTTAGCAGTTAGACACATTGCTGGCAGAACATTTTGAATGTAGAGTCAGCTCAACAGTCTTTATAGCATTCTCGTCTGAATGTCATAAATAGAGAGGAGAACGACGAGTTTTTTTTATGGCATTGAAATGAAATATAGTTAGACGTACACTTAAAGAACTGCGTCAACATTTGTTTTTATTTAATTTCGACCTTCGAAACAAGAATTTTCGATCCACTTAATTGAAAAAAAATAGTGGTGAAGTAGCAATGCTCACAGAGAAAAAAAAAGTGGATTAAATTGTGAATTTGAAATCTTCATTGAAAAATATTTCTTATGACTACAAGTATAGTCATTGAAGGCAAAGAAAACTTTCACGGGCATGCACTGTACAGATGAATCAATATAATTGAATGAGAAACAAATGTTTGAGCCTACCCAAGTCTCACGGCTCTACAATCAATCGTCATATTAAATCAAGACTATTGAAAATCAATATTCTTTTCACATTGTTTGTCTTTTATTATCCCATATTCTGATATTTTCATCTCCGAAAGATAACCTTAAAAAAGAAGACAACATACCTGAATATAGTAAAAGAAGATGTTTAATCGTCGCATAATTGAACATGTGAACAAATTTATTTATTTTAGCTCCGAATCTATTTCCATAGTAACATTCCATTGATTGGTTATTTAAATAAACCAATACGAAATCACTGACAGATATCACTTTTTTTTCTAAAAGTGCATAAATCACTTAAAAAAGTTCAAAAACAAACACAAGTTGAAGAATTTAGGTGTCGAAGATGAAGCATTTTTGTAGAGGTTTCGGTTGCACTAGCCATTTTACATGTGTGGTGATTTTGCGTTGTTGTCGAATTCGACACTTTGCTGCTCTTACCAAATACGAAACCGTCCGTAAGAATCAGAACAGCAGGTAGCAAAAAAAAGGCAGACAGAGAGAGAGAGAGAGAAAGACACACACACACAAAATTTTTTTCATGATCAAAATTTAATACATATAAACAAGAATCGGAAGTTCAATATATACTTTTTTGTTTTTTGTTTTAGAATAACATCACAATAAAGCGCAATGGCAGCGGTAAATAATCTTTTGATTTTTTTTCAAATCTATTTCCTTGAACATCTTTTTAGAAAGAGAAGCACAGTTTAAGTTTCATCGAAAACTTTGCACTCAGTGGTCTTGCTGCTGTTGTCTCAAAAACAGCAGCTGCACCTATTGAACGTGTAAAATTACTCGTACAAAATCAAGGTGAAATGCTTAAACAAGGTACACTCAGTCGTCCGTACAATGGTGTTATTGATTGTACTATGCAAACGTTCAGAAATGAAGGACTCTTTCCATTTTGGCGAGGCAATTTGGCTAATTGTATTCGATATTTTCCAACCCAAGTTTGTTTTGATATATAATGTAAAAAAACAAAATAATTGAAATTTTTTTACTTTTCTCTTTAGGCTTTAAATTTTGCCTTCAAAGATAAAATCAAAGTAATGTTTAAACAAAATAAAAATGATCCATATATGATCAACTTTGGTAAAAATGTAGCAAGCGGTGGTGTAGCTGGTGCATTATCATTATGTTTTGTCTATTCACTTGATTATGCACGTACACGTTTAGCTAATGACGTTAAAAGTACAAAGAAAGGTCAAGGTGAACGTAAATACAATGGTCTCGTTGATGTCTATAAGAAGACTTTGGCAACTGATGGTATTGTTGGTCTTTATCGTGGTTTCGTTATATCATGTGTTGGTATTGTTATTTATCGTGGATGTTATTTTGGTTTCTATGATACATTAAAACCAATTTTACTTGGTCCAGATGCTGGTATTATGTTATCATTTTTACTTGGTTATGGTGTAACAGTCACATCAGGTCTTATATCATATCCAGTCGATACAATTCGACGACGTATGATGATGACATCGGGTCAAGCTGTTAAATATAAAGGATCATTAGATTGCACGTTCCAAATTTTACGTACTGAAGGTGTTATGGCATTATTCAAAGGAGCTGGTGCCAACATTCTTCGTGGTATTGCTGGTGCTGGTGTTTTAGCTGGTTTCGATTCACTTGTACAACTTTACGCTGGCATTAAAGTCGATACTAGCGGAGGTTAAGAACAATCAATTGAAATGTAAAAACACATTGCATACAAAACCATCTCAATCAGACTATCCTTTACTATCCATTTACTTCCTTATTACTATATTTTGCTCGCTTAGTGCGAAAAAGAGTGTAGATTCCATCATTATCTTCTATTTTACTTTAGTACAATGTCATCTTTTCTTTCTCTTTCTGTTTTTTGATTGTGTCCAATTGTAGTCACAGTGAGCGCTTGCGTTTACATTTTTTGTGTAACATCAGGAAAAAAAGAATAACAACAAAATATCCATTGTTGGTCTAGGTTTAAATTTTTGCTTTCTTTTTTTTTTGTTACTCTTGAATATCTTTGAAATTTAAAGGATAAAAAAAAAGAAATCAACAATGCGCTAGATAAAATTCTCTTTTTTTTAGAAAATAAAAATAAAAACAAAAAACATAATGTTGAATTTAGATAATAAAATTTCTTATTTCTTATTCATGAAAAATGTTTCATAAAAGTAATGTCAATTGATAAACAAACTATTTTATATAATTTAAATTCAAAAGGATCAGCTTGTTCAACACCATTAATGTTCTCACGTGATTCATCTATGGAAACATTATCAAGTTTTAATGTTAATTTTCATTCACATAATTCAACATATACATCAGAACATAGTACAAATCCATCAGGAATTATATCACCAAGCGACATACCAGATTCACCACCACGTGGTTCAGATGATGATATTGATACAATTGAACAACAAAGAACAATAATTCAACCATTAAATTTAACCCGTTCAACTGGTACAACTGTTATTGAGCGAACAGATAATTATCTACATGATGATAATGATGTTGATAGCATAAGAAATTATGCTACATCATCACCACAAAGAATATCTTATAATGATAACGATGATGATGATGATAATAATTCAATTCATTCATCATTAAGTTCGCTAACATTACCATTACCACCATCATCATCAACATCATCAACAACCCAAACATTATTATCAAATATAAATGAGTTAAGAAATCTAAAACGTAATTTAAGTATTATTAATGAAGAAAGTTTACATGAACAAAATGAAAGACAAAAATCATCATTTGATATAAGTAATACAACAATAACAACAACTGATGATGATGATGATGATGATGAAGATGAAGATCAAAAAGGTAAACGATTATTATTTGAACTTATTCGTCAACGTTTACCACATCATCACATATCATTAACCAATACGTCAGATTCGTCATCAAAAATTAATGACATTGATTGTCAAAATAAATCAAAAGGAACATCATCAACATCGTCATCATCAATTAATGATCAGGTAATATTTCATAAAGAAAAAACAAGTTTGGTCCCGTTTCATCGAACCATTAAGACTGATTAATTGACTTCCCTGTTTCATCAACATTCTTTTTATTGAGTAGTATTTTATGAAAAAAAAACCAGATACCACTTTGTATTAGAGAATGTTATTGTAATAATAGAAATGAGAACATAATTCAATAATTACTAGAGACGGAGTCCATCTGACTTTTTCACAGTCGATATCAATTTAAGCAGGTCAGACTGGACTGGGTGGTGTGAAATCTATACCGTCACGGAACTGACGAGTTAACTTACTGTTCTATCTGTAGATAATGATACTTGCCAAGAGCAACTTTCAACAAAGTTTCAGCACACATCTTCTATGAGATACTGAAAGTAAACAAATTAATAAGACACACTGGTAATGGCCGATCTACCAACAGACCAGCCAATGACCCGTGTCAGTTCCATCTCCGTAATAGTTCATACGATAGTAACAGCAAAGTATTATTTTAATACTTTAATAATCTTATAAAACTATTTATCTAATGATAAATAATTTTTTTCATATCGTTTCGTGAAATCATAAATTTATAGATTCTGAAAACTAAATTTTTTAAATTTCTTGGAGACTTGTTCATATTATTGTGAAGTGCTTTTATCATGGCCATGTTGAATGCATAATCTTTCTTTAATCCGTCAATCACTACATATAAGTTTGGATTAGAAGTGGCAATATTTGCATTACGTCGATGGTACCACCTGCCAGTCCCGGTATACGTGGGAGTAGAAAAAGTCAATATCTACGCGAACACTCATACATGTTAATTGAAAGCGTTTTTCCGACCTTTCTATTGATAGTAATGTTCGTTTTTAAAATGTCGAATAGTATTATTAAGGTTTAGCTTATTTCTTTCTCTTCAAGATAAGATTTCTTCAGTAAAGTTCTGAAGTTGCTCAGAAAAAAAAAATTATGTTGATGAAACGGAAAGATATCAAAAAATTCTTTCACTTTTTTCCAATATTAATAAGAAGAAAAAAAAAATTTAGACCATGCGTGAAGATTCTTCCAATCATGCCTTATCATCCCATGATATAACAATACCTTCGTCGGCAATGCATGAAAGTGGTTATGATAGTTTATTACCAATTGGTTCAGCTCCTAAACGATCTTTATCGAATGCATCACTTTCAACAACACGTTCATTAATAATTAAGAAAAAACACCGATGTGATGAAGAGAATGATGATCCTATGAATGGTAACAATAATAACAATAATACAGAATTTATTGATGATGAAGATGATGATCATTATGATAAGAAAGCTGGTGAAGCACTTTTACGTAATCTTATAGCTCAAGTACTTCCATCATGTAAGAATTTATATTTCAAATAAGAAACTAATTATTATAAAAAATTTTTAGTTAATCCTCGATATTTAAATGGTGGTGGTGACGATGATGATAATGAAGAAGAACAAGAAGAAGAAGAAGAAGTTTTAAGTAATCCTCGTCGACCATCACCAATAAGTCAAACATGTAGTAGTAGTAATGCATCATCAGTACGTTCACTTGATATTGAAATTGAAATGAATAAAAAAAGTGAAAAAAATCTTTGTATTCGTTCAAATAAAAATCATATTTCAGATATAATTCAACAAGAAAAAGTATATTCTTTTTTTAATTTTTCGATTAATTTACTTTAATCAAATGTTTTTTTATTTTAAGATTCATTCCAAACGTACATATATTCACAGACCCGTAAGTCAAACAAAATCATCTGAATTACGTCGTCTTCAAACACATTCACGTCGATAAAAAACAAAGAAATATTTTATGACATTTGATTCAGTATATACAATCAATTTTTTCTTTTTCTTGTTTTGTAAAAACTTATATCTATCTCATTTTTATGTCAGATATTCATCGAATAATTGATTGAGTCATATGCAAAATTTTGTTTATTAATTTTTGAAGAAAAAAAATAAGCCGTCATATCTTTCTTAAAATTGAAGTCATTTTTCTTTTGTTATTCTTCTTGTTTTTTTTTCATATTCAATTAGTGTATATCAAATTTTTTTTTCGTAAAAGAAAAAAAAAGAATAAATATTGGCTAAATAAAATATCGTAGGTTGTATAAGGAATACAACATATAAACTATATGCGTAATTTGTCAATGGCTTGATACAATAAAAGAAAAATATGTAAATACATGAATCATATATAATAGGCAAGAAATGAAAACAGAACAGAGTGTTAATGATAAGCTAATCTAACAAAAGAAAACATGAGTATGAATATCTATTAAACGAATCAAGTACAATACGGATATCTCAGAAGAGTTGCACTTGGAGTACTTTTTTTCTTTTAATTTTTAAACTACTGTAGTTTATAATGCTATTCAATTTGATTTTCAATTTAAAATTAACATATACACAGAAGAAATTCATATAAATGAGAAGATTATTTGTATATAATAATTAGACGAAGAACGAAAATTACTAAAAATAGGAAAGTTAATAATTTCTGTTCACATGCTATTTGTGATATATGATGAAAAGAGGAAAAAAATGTTTTCGAACACGACAAACATATGTACCGTAGAGGAGACACAAATTTTAGTGTAATAAAAGAAAAAATCAAAGTGAAGCGCGCGTGCATGAGAACTATGTATGTTACATTTCGAAACATAAAGATTATTGTAAAACAAGAGAAATCTCACTTAAAGACGATACGAAAAATGTGTTATCAAAGCATACATATACAAAGATCAGAAAATATCTATTGTTCACAGTAAATAATATTAATATTAAACAGTTAACATAATACTTCGTTTATTACAATATGAAAGCAAACTGATTGATATGTATTCTTAATATGTGAGAAACTAAAATTAGTTAAATTCAGATACTATTCTACTATTATATCCATCATATCTATATATTTATGAAAATGTTATTGATGTACGAATCTTCAACTTAACAATTTCAGATTTATTGCTAATTAAAACATAATTTATAGTATTAATCTCATGCAGAATAACGATCTCTAATGAATACATGTCTGATAATATCAAATAAGAAAAAATAAATTCTATATATTTTTATTGCATATTTATATTTCTAACTAACATTTTACATGTAAAATAATCTTCATTTAGTTTATATCAATATGAACAAATCATAATCTTTATCACAGATTTGAAAAGAAAAAGTAACTGTCTTATATGGTTTATTCAATCCTAACTTTTGTTTAAATTTTCAATTCACATTCTTAATAAAAAAAAAAATGTTTAACATTGATAACTTATCATTAATATACTTTATGTCTCGATTATCGAATAAAAAAAAAACTTGAAGTTAATGGTTGTTCATATCATATATTGATAACTCAGAAGCATGAAAAGAATATTATGATAAATGTTTTTCTTTATCTTTTGTTTATGTAATAAACATTTAGTTGTAGCATTTTATTAATCTAACAGAAATTTGTTTAATCCTGAAATTAGAATGTAAAACAAATAATTGTTTCTTCTAATAAATCTTTATCATCACAATAAAAAGCATTTTACGTTTTTCGTTCTTTATTTATTTTATTCTTGCTTACTTTCTTTTCTTTGTTTCAACAAAATATCCACAAAACAACAAAAGAAAATGAATCAACGAAAAAAAAAAAAACAAAACAAACAATAAATCTGTTTGCCCTGTTGTCTATTTTCTTCTCTCTCAATGCAGTCAATTAGATGTCTACAAAAAAAAAACATAGAGAAGTAAACATTTCACGAGTATAATAACATTGACTCGTTTTTTTTGTTTGTCTGACTTTACAATATACACAACACAGGCGCATTCAGACAGATAGCAAAAAAGAAACCAAGAAAAAATTCATACGCATATACACACACATATATATATATAAAGCATGATGTGAAAATTAAAGAATAGTTTAATAATTAGAAGAGTTCTTTGTTGTTTTCTTCTATGCTTTTTGTTTTGATCCTGGAGCAAAACGACCACCGGCACCACGAACACGATTCATTGCATGTCGATGACGTGATTCATGAAGAAATTTACGCTAAAAATTATCATAAGTTTAATAATAAATATTAATTTATTTTTTCTTCAACATACTTTACGTTCACGTGGAATTCGTCCTTCAGCTTCAAGTTTAGCACGAGCAGCACGTCGTTTTAATATTCGATTATATTGTTTAGCATTTACATATAATGGTTCTTCTTCTGTTGGTTCAGATGTAACAGTTTGTGTTGGTGCTGTTGTTGATGTCGTTGTTAAACCACTTGTTTGCATTTGAACAGCTTGTAATTGTCCTGCATTACCTGGTACCATCTATTAATAAATATATATTAAAAATATCAATGAAACATTCTTTTTATTTACCATAATAACAGTTCCATTTTGTGCTGATGATTGTGTTTTGGTTGGTGTTGATAATTGTACAATTTGTTGTCCATTACCACCAAGTTGAAGAGCACCTGCTGGAATAGTTATTGTTTGTGGTTGTTGTGTTGTTTGAACACTACTTAATTGTAAAACTAAAAAAAAAGTAAGAAAAATTCAAAACATATTGAAAGAATTTATCTTTGTTCAGTCTTTTTTTACTTTGTCCACCAACTTGAACATATTGTGGTTGCTGTGATTGTGATTGTTCAGCACTTTGTAATATAATTAATTGTCCATCGGCTGTTTGAAGAATTTGTCCCTGTGGTAATGCTGTTGATGTTGGTGATCCACTTGTTTTAAGAATAATCTTAATTAGAAGAAAAAATAATATATATATATATAATATTCATTTATAGATTAAAGTTTTGACTTCTTCTTTTTGTAACTTATTATTCCTTATGACAATGAATTCAAAAGAAAAATTAGGTTTTATGACTTTTTTTTTTTTTTGAAATACCTGTTGTCCATTTCCAAGAGTTGTTCGTTGTTGCATCAAATCGTTATTATTTATTGTAATAACATTTCCACTTGTGTTTCCTGATGAATTTTGTTGAGAACCAGATGAATCCATTTTTGTTTAAACGGACTATTCAAAGAAAAAAAAAAAAACCAAAATCAAAAGAAAGAAATTTCTAGAGATAAAATAGAAAATTCTGAAAAATTATATTTTTTCGTTTTTATTCTCGGATATACCTCATTGAAAATGGTTTTGGATGATTTTTCATCATTGTTAATATCGCATCAATAAGAATTTCCTGGTGTCATTTTTATTTTTATGTTTTTTTTTTTTCAATGTATGTTATGTTCTGTTTTTTTTCTCTTCTCTCTGTCTCAAAATCAACTGGTGGGAATCGGACAACCAACCCGAGCTTCGTTGCTACTTACATTGGTCGCAAATGGTCCAACTAGAGCGAGATTTTCACTATTGGCGCACAATTTGGTTAAGTTTCCACCAGCCGGTAACACGGAGAAGGAGAGAGAAGAAAAAAAAAGAAACGACGTCGTTAACAATGAAGTGTGTATGTGTAAGGGTATATAATTGGTCGATGGGTTTCAGTTTTCTTTTCTTCATTTTTTTCTCTTGCGTTCTGTATGTTTCTCTATCGAACCCCGACAGCTTCGTCGCCGGTTGTAAAGCGAGTGCACTCGTTTAGTGTATAACATCGGCAGCAAGAACGACATGTAAAAAAGAAAAAGTTTGACTCGACGGAAGCAGGCAACAACGAGTCGGTCATAAGAAGAAACAAGAATATGTGTTGGGAAGAAAAAAAAAGAAAAGAAAGAATGATAGATCGACCAAAAGACCTACTTCTCTGTATACATAAAAATGAAAAAGAATAGTTAACTGACAAACTCGATACTTTTCTATATTATTACGACAATCTCGTGTTTTCGACATATTAATGAAACAAACATTGCTTGGCAATGTATAAAAGAATTTGCATAGAATATTTATGTTTTTGAATGAAAGAAGGAAAAAAGATGTACAAACATAGGTTTTTTTATATTCTTAACACATAATATAAACTTTTATTAGAATGACTAATATAGTAAGAAGAATAATCTAGAAGTTATATTTAGAAATGATAAGGCAAAATGATTCTTGTTAGAATGAAACATGAGAAGAAGAAATTCTCAACATTCTATTTTTGTAAACTCATGTTTTCTTCAATAGTAATTTTGACATTAATAAAACCTAGTAAATAGAACCGAAAAAAGTCATATTATTTTATATTAATAACAAATGCTCGCAAATTGACTTGATTTAATATTTATACGTTCTATAACAAGAAATTTAATTCAATATTTTTTCTATAAAGACTTCTTGGCATTGAAATTGTTTTCGAAATATTCTTACAATTTAATGAAACCGATCATTGCAGAAATAACATATTGGCATAATCGAAATACTTGTGTAGTTTTGTTTTTATATAACTATATGATAGAAGCAGAGTATCGATTGTACAATTATTATGTACTGTTCGTCTATTGTTCGAACAATATTTTTTTTAATTTTCTTATGAGATTATCTTGAAATATAACTTGATTTGTATGAAGAGATTTTTTATAAAAGTCTTTTGCCTCGTATTTCTGCTATATTCTATTGTTCATAAAATAGCTATGTCTTTAGTTTGACTAGTCTTTTTTTAAATTTGATTTATGAGAATCGACAAAAGAATGAGTATTATATTGAGTAATTAAATCTTCATCTTGAATATGCTTCATTTGTTAATAGTTTTTATTGTCAATAAAAGCAGAATAAAAATGAAACATTTGAAGAAATTCTCAAAACTTTAATAGATGGTTGACAGATTCGACTTTTAATAATTCATTAACCAATAGAACACAATTCGAAAAATGAAAATCTTTCGCATTTCTACATTGCTCTACTAATATTTTTTCTGTATATTCTATGCTATTACTCATCAAATCAAACAAGGAAGAAGAAAAGTATACAAATATAAATTGACATGAAATTTAGTATTTTTTTCAAAAGATTAATAAATCTCACTAGTGAATAGAGCTAGTTATTGCATTGTCATGAAGTCTTGTTCGTAAACGCTTCAAAAGTGCCAATATACAATATAAAACACCGAATATACTACTTTTCAATCAAATTTATAAAAAAAAAATGGTAAAATCATTCGTAGATATGATCATTGTATTGATCTCAAGAGAAGTCCTATCTAAAGGTTTGCGGGACCAGAGTTACGGAAAAGAGGAGTTGCCGAGAGTGAGACTCAAGTTTATAGTAACATATTCTATGGTTTAAAGCTAATTATCTTATCAATCGTATGAATCAAAACATAATCTAAAGAGACATGATCCAAAAAAGCGCTGGTCATCGACTCAATAAATCAAAAAAAGAACTCAATATTGAAGAATTATTTTAGATATGATACGAATAAATCCTGGCATGTTTTTTTCTAGACCCGTACGCAAAAATATAAAATCACTGGGACCGAACTAGAAACAGCATTTGGACTAAAAAACCTATGGTTCGGCACATTTCTAGTCGTATGTCATCAATACTGTTGTTCTTGAGATGAAAAAAAAGAAAGAACTTGTTTTTTTTTCATATGGTTTTAGCTTTATGTTTACTGTTGTTTTTAGTTACATAAAACCAAATACTAATTCCTTATTCATGTTAAAATAAACTAAATACGATTACTATACAATTGAGTAAACTTCTAGCAAATTACCAACATATTATAGTATATAGGAGACAAAATATTTTAGTATGTCATATGTTTATTAGAATAAGTTAATGATAAACAGCATTAGTTGCAATCAAATTTCCAAGAAAGAAAATTCTGGACTAATTTGCAATAATAAATATATGTAGGCAATAGAAAATTTTGACTTGATCTTTCGTTTGATTTCATTATGGTCTTTTATGTTCATTTTTTGTTTTATTATTTGTAGGTTATTTTACCCTTTATCTATGATAAGATCTAAAGGTACATACTGCTGATATAGACAATTTGTGAAGAAAAAAGGTACTATAATAAAGTACATTAAACAATGAGTAAAGATAAAATGAATCATGAGCGATGATTTGTATGTAGAACTAGATTGATAAATGTACAGACCATCGACAAATGAATAAATTGAAACATAGAATGACGCAGAGTTATTCAAGTATGGTGCACAGCTGGCCTGAAGGCTCATACATAAAGCTAATACTTGAGAAGTATATAGAGTCTTTCAATTTCATTTCTCGATTGAATTCTAAATCGAAATGTGATACTGATACGAAAATAAAACTAAATAATTGATTATGACTGAAATTTAAAAAATATATCAAATCAAACGATTAATTAGCAATGTCAATATGATTTGCGCATTAATAACAATATAGTCACTCAACATAAAGAATCATTTGTTTGGTTTTTTGATTGTAATGCTCAATTCTTAAAATTAAAATTTTTCTTTTTTGAAATAAAATTTATATGAATCTCTAGATTTAATTTTAAATTGTAAATGATACTTGTTGATTTTGACATAGGTATTATTGTTAATATATCAGTAAATGAACATCTGCATAGCATAAGTCATCATCAACAATTAATTCATTTTTACTAACTACAATGAAGAAAACTGAGAATATCATATTAATGATCTTCTCCTTTATCTCTTATTGCGTGTTATTGACACATGTTCTAATGAATTAGAAAATTAAAAACGACACTATAATCTTTAATTGTATTATAATGATATCAACCGGAATATCAAAAAACATCAGATGTTATTTTTTTTTCTTTTATTTCACTCTCTTTGTTTTTTCTATTCATCTTTCTTGTTTTAGTGATAGAAATAAAAGGAATCTAGGTGCATATCATATGAAAAGTCGTTTCTGAACTGAGCGCAGTTCGTTGGCTAAACACTTTCTTAATAATTTGTGTCAAAAAACATACTTTGACACATTATTGTCATTTAAATTGGAAAAGATAAGATCGACAGTTTGCATCCTCAGTATAAATCAAACTTTATTAGATAGAATTACTTTAGAATTTGAATATAAAGCGAATGTTTTCATGAAGTTTTTTTTGATTAATTCAGTGAAAAAAAAACATTATTGACGGAAACATTATCGACGGTAGGTGAACTAGAGACAAAGGTATTGTGGATTCTTTTATTTTTGAGTAAAGATGAAAATGAACAAGACAGGATATTTATTGCTACGTTGATCAATTATTTTCTACGTGTGTGATTTATTGTTGAGCGAACCAATTTTTCCTTTTAGTCCTTTCACATTTGCTCTACTCGCCTTTTTAGAAATGTTCCTGATTGAAGACAAAAAAGAAAAACTTTTGATAAAAAAGAAAATATGTATATGATTTATATTATTTGTAGATTCACTCTTTATCTTACAGAAGCATTTATTACTACTACCATCATGTCGAAATTAATCTGCTCATTAATAAGTCTATTTTTCGTTATGTCGATTTTATATTTGAATAAGGTTGACAGTCGAGTGATTCATCAGGTTAAGAGATTAATTTATGAAAAAAAAAAATAAATCTATATATACATATATATTATTTTAAGGATTATAAAAGTATACCAGCTTCTCAACTTCATCAATTTCACTTTAATGACGATCGAAGTAATGAAAACAATCACAAAAAAGTTCATCCAAATGAAAATACATATGTCAAACGGAAAAGTGATTTTCTTTTATCTTTATATGGTTTACCATACACTCTTGTCAACAAATAAAATATTAATTAAATAAAAGAAAATATCAACATCGATTAAGTCTATTAAATTTATACTATAAATTGTAATCCCTTATGATTCTCATTCTTTTATGTTGTGTGTATTAAATGAAAGAAATTAATTTTTTTGTTTAAGAAAGCAAAATAATTGAATTATATCGAAAAAAAAAAGGAAAACCATATAATATTTATTTGAAATAAAGGTATAAAACAAGCATAATCTTTAAATATATTTCTCGAAATGTATATATATATTAGCGGGATCTATTTTATTATTCACGTCCATGCCATATCGTAAAACATATGGTAGCTAAAAGTACAGACGTTGTTGTAATGATACTCAATCTAATAAAAAAAAACAAATTGTTATTTAGAATAAAAACAATCATTTATGATCTCGTACATTTTATTAAAACTTCCTGCTGCATCATAGAGATCATCTTGAAAACCACCATATATTGAGGCATATTCTTCAGGTATTGGACCACCGCAGCAATATGGTGTGCCTTGTTCATCTAAATTATATTTATATAGCTAGGAGCCACATAAAATAAAAGCTAGTAACACAATCGTTGCGGAATTAAAATATGAAACATGGCGTAGTTGCTAATGCTAATCACCGAAGATTGATTTATTCTTTCTATTTTGAAACATATTTCTTCATTATGATTTTACTTAATCATCCGAAAATGCAAGAAGGAAGTAGTTTCTACATTAGAACAAGATGTTATTGATATACAATTTTTGATTGTATCTTCACAACCCCTACGACGACGGAGAGGCGAAATGTTTCTAAGACGTCGGTCATGGTCTAGGACGTTCTCTGGTTACTGACTGCGGGAGTCCAAATTTTTACTTCAATACTCTTTTTAGATCATATTCCATTAATAAAATGAATATAATTACCTTCGCAACAATTATCAGCTTCATTTGTTTTACATTCAATTTCAATTGGACACTTTACTAATTCACCTGACACATTACATGTACCGAAGCCTTCATCATTCAATGTTTGATTAACTAATGTCATATTAAGATCTTCTTGAATACAATAAAAAACAGTGGGTGGTTTGCCCTCTACTGTTTCAGGAGGAGCATCAACAGCAGGTGGATAGCCATAGTTTTCTGAACAAACAATACATTATTCTACGTTGAAATCATCTTTCTCTACGTACCATGTGGATGATAATAATATCCAGGATATGGACGATAGTGACTACCACCATAGTAACCTACACCAGCATACATGCCTTTATTATATTTTCGTCGTTGATAATACCGTTTGCCATAGCGAACAGCTTGCGGCAAAAATTTTTTTCCTGTTCGAACCTTAATAAAAATAAAAATAATAATAATACTTGATATATAATGAATATCTTAAAAGCAACTGTATTTACCCAAACATTACCGCCACTACCGCTAGTACCTCCCGTTCCAAATCCGCCTCCTGCTATTCTTGAATTAAATCCACTACCACCACCCCCTCCAGTTGTAATTTGTCCTAAGAAAAAGAAAAAAAAAAAAACACTTTTTCAAAACACTTATTAACGTTATCAGCTACTTACGAATTTTATCACTGAAACCAGGTTTACTTCCGCTTGTACCTGGTAATCCACCAGTACCGGATGGGATTCCTTCAAAGAAAAATCGAAATATTTTATATCAATTAAAGTAACATATTCTACCGGGGTTCACTGCTGGTGTACGCCGAAACATTGTTCGTATTGCTGCACGAATACGATGTTGTCCACCGGTATTCGACGACATTGAAGATCCTCCGAATCCTATTACATGAATAATACAATCTATTATTAAATAAATTTCATTTTAGCTCACACTTACCTGAACTTGATGATGGTTTTTGTCCCATTGATCGAACAGCTTCACGTACTCGATGTCCAGTATTACTTGATGAACCTATTCATACCAATTTGTTTTTATTATTAAAGCTTTTTTTTTCTTGTTTTATTTAATTTTTATACTAACGAGAAAAAATTCGAGAACCACTGCCAGAGGAGGGTAATGAGCCACTACTACTACCTGAAATAAAACATGTTATGAAATAGAACTAAATATATTTAAAAAAATTTTCATTATTATTTACGACTGAAAATTCGTGATGATCCACCGCTAGATGACGGTGATGATCGACTGCCTAAATTTTAGTTTATTTAAAATCTTCGTATTGAAAAAAATAGTCTTACCACCAAAAAACCGTGAGCCACTGCTACTACCGCTACTACTTCTACTAAAACTACTACTGAATCGACTGCCACCAGATCGACTACTGCTACTTGAACGACCACCACCACCTGAACGACCACCGCCACCTGAACGACCACCACCACCACCTGATGAAGAACGACAAATAGCATTAATATGACCGAAAGAAAAAAATGTCGAAGGAAAAAATAGTAAAAAAAGTTTATCTTGAGATTCTCGATTAGCCTAAATAAAGATATTTTATTGCATATAAAAAAGTGAGAGATGTATAAGTATACCAATGAGGGATAATATTCTATGAAAAGTATTCAAGAACAAAACTAACAACAAGACTAGACGTTCTTTTATGTGGATGACTGTGCTTGTGGGTGTGGGTGTGGGTGTGGATGTGGGGGAGGTGCATGCAGATGTAAGTCTTCTCTTTGCACCTACCATTACATCCACATATCACCCTTAACAGAGTCACTTAATGATATTAAGAACATTTTCGACATTATTATTTCTCTCTGTTTTCCTTCGACATTATTATTTCTCTATGTTTTCCTTCGACATTTTCTCTTTAGGTGAAATTGATACATACCAGAACGACCTCGACGAAATCGTTTTAATATTTGATTAGCATCATTGTCTGAATTATAGTTTTTATTATTATCAATAAATGTTTTTAGATATATTTACCTGAATCAATTTGAACTAAATCAAAATCTGGTATTGAATCTAATTCATTATGATCCGATATTGCTCGAGATGAATAAATTGCATCACAAAGAGCACGTACACGTCGAATTTTTATTTCATTAATATTCTTATTATTTTCATTACCTTGAATTTCACTTAATGAGTCACACAATGGTAAATATTGAGTATTGATTATGGACACAAAACTTAAAATAATAATAATATTCGAAGTAATAAGAGTCTGGTAGACCATGTTTTTTTCCTTTATCTGTTGTTTTTTCTCAATGATATAAATATTTCTTAGGATATTTTATAGAAGACGGCATATGCCTAGATTCATAATGAAAAAACAAGTTTTCTTGTTGACGGACTAATATTCAGATAGAAAAAAAACTAGAGCCAATAGTAATAAGTAGAGAAGGACATATTATTAGTGCTATTTATATGTATATATATATATATATATATGTATTAATATGATTCATCAAATATGCGCCAGTGAGAAAATGTCCAGCGCTTAAAGAATTATTAACCAGTAAGAGAAATATCTAGGCATTTTGTTTCATATATTTAATAAAAATCATTTCAACAGACAAACAAATGATTGTTCCTATTAAAAAAACAAAAAGAAATGAAATGCTACTAAATATAAATACATAAATATAAACAAAAAGAATATCATGACGACATTGTTAAAAGATGTTCATATGATGAAAGTGCACTACGAAATGACAGAAAATCATCATCATTTAGATCTTGTCGGTGTTGACGTAGATTGATTGATGATGATAATTTAATATATTTATTCAGTTGTTCTATTCGTTGTTCAATAGAATATATAAGTTTATTAATAAACGAATGAAATGACGAAATTTGACCAATTTTTAATAATAATGAAAGACTTTCCATAGTAGCTAATAATGTTGAATATCTATATAAAATTATAGATAATACAAAAAAATAACAATTTTATTAGTTGAAATATTAATTTACCTTGCTTCAAGTAATTCTGCATGACGTGGTATTTCGGCACTAGCTCGTTTAATATCATCTATTTTTAATTTTAATTTACCTATTTGACGTATAAATTCATCAAGTAAATAACCATCATCATTAAACTGTTTTATAACATGATTTGTTTTACTTAAATCAAATAAACGATCATAAAGATCATTACAATCATTAATTAATTCACTATCATAACATAATCTATAATAAATTAAAACCAAAAAATATATAACAATAACAAAAAAAAAAAAACAAGAGGAACATGATTCATCTATCTACCTGATAGGTTGTATTGTTTCATCACCATCATCAGAATTTTCTTCATTGGAATCTTCTACAATAACATCTAATTGTGTTGTTCGTATTGTTGATGATGATTTTTGATTTATTATTATTGAATTAATATCATCAATTGTTTGTTGTGTGCTATGATCATCAATTAAATTATTATTTGTAATTGACGTTAAATGTTGATCATATTCATTGGATATTTTATTTTTAGATGATAAATTAATATCATATAAAATATTTGAATTTTCATCAACTGTATGCAAAAGTTTATTATCCATATGATCATTTGGAGAAAGTTTTTCTTGACTAAAAAAATAAGAATATCAGACTAAAAATATATACAAATGATTTTCTTTTTTGAACTTGCATATATTCATTACGTAAAAAAAAAAAAGGATCGTCATAGTTGACTTACTATGATTTAAAATTTTCTTGTTTCTTTATTTTTCTTTTATTATGCTTTACAGTTGCAAAACAACTTCGCCATAACCAACAATGTCGACTAGTGCCGAATTCACTCATAAGTAATCGGAAACAAAAGAAAAACCCTTATGAATATGTGTCTTGAATTCCAAATAATCAATGCTCTGTTTTATTAACTATGCATACTAGCTCGTTTTCTGCTACTATTATTACTGCCGTTATTCTTATTTTACAATGAAAGAGAAACAAAGAGAGAGAGAGAGAGAGATGGAGAGAGAGATGGAGAGGGAGAAAGAAAATGAATAAAGAGCAGAAGAAAAAAGTAAACGATAGAAAGGCGAGAAATATTAACGAACAAGCACGATACGATGACAAACATGATCCGATCTATGTGGCGAATGACAACGATTATAGAAATAGAATGGGCAACGAGTCACCTTCATCATCCGTCGCTTATTCACATTTATGTTTTGTTCCTCTATTTCGATTTTAAATGCCAAAGGAAAAAAAGTAACCTATATCAATCAATTTCTACCCAACAGACGGTTCCTTCTTTGTTTTGTATTTTAGTCTTTTATGCTACCTGTTCGTAACAGGCAGTGTCGTTCAATGAACACACAATAAAACAAATGATTCTATTCAATGATGTGATGTCATTATTTTTCTATTGATTGAAATAGCTTTCATGTATATATATAATATATAGCTCTTGATCTTTTTTTTTTTTTGTTTATGATATTGAACTTTAAGTTCAATATTTTTTATTTTAAGTAACTAGTTAATACCAGGTAATATATAGAAAACCTTATCTCCATAGATTCAAATTGCAAGTAGGTTGATCCCTTTGTTTTTTTTGTAATTATATGTTTGAATAGTACTACTTAAGTATATATATCAAACATGATACATATTCTAGATAAATAGACCTGTTGTCATTTGTTAAAGTCGATATATGTGTATAATAAATCTTTTTATATTGATGATAATGATGACTGAAAAACTATAATGACCCTGAAAATAGTTATGAAGAACAATTTATAAGAAACATAATAATAAAAAAACAAAGATTAAACTAGGAGTTACTACTACAAATATTTCTAAATTTATAGAATTGCCTATTATAATAAGCTATGTAGACAAGATTCTATTCTTATCATTCGTTTCCTTTTGTTATCTCGTATATCATTATATTCTTTGCTAATCCCTAGTTTAGCAACCTACATCCGATAATATATACATCTCGACATTCTTATTGCTTCCGCTGTTTTGGTTCAATAATATCTATTTTCTTCCGCTTTTGATGTTTCTATTGTAACGTGAGTATTAAAAGAAAAAAACAACAACGCTCATATAAAGAATACAAGATAAATATATAAAATAGCGGAAAAACTATTCAATTTATCATTTAATATAAGATATATTCAAACATGCACCCACTTATATATATCATAGGATCCATTCTAGCAAATTTTTCCTCCAAATAAAAAAGAAAAAAATTCTTATATTTCATGCCGTTTTCTTTTCAATGGAAATGCAGATACAATCAATAGAAGACACATATTTAATTATGTATTGATATACGTTTATTTAAACAAAGAAGAGGAATCTATTTATGATAATCACAATTTGATAATAAAAACAAAACAACTATAATCTTAAATTATTTCAATCAAAACAAAAGAAATGTATTTATGTCTTTTAGTATTGTTGCCATTCGTTATTATAATTTAGCTTGATCTTTGAATAATGTAGATAATTTTTGTGCTAACATAACGTTGCCTTTTACTTTCAATTTACCTTTAGCAAAAAGCTATAAAATAAAAACAATACAATTGTACATAATAGATTTTAAATGTTAATACATACGGCAGGTGCGTTAGCTTTGCCTGAAGCCAAATCTACAAAATCATTATCATCGACTGTAATTGTAACTTGTGCTGTTGTTCCTTCAAGCGGTTTACCTTCATAAATAGTACCTTTTTTTCCATCAATAGCTGAAGAAAAAAAGCAGAAAATAAAATGAAATAATATATGAATTATTAATTTTTGTGCCTTTGTGACTTACTCCAACTTCGTTGAAAATTTCCATCTTTTGTTATATCAAATACAATAATCGCACCAACCTTTTTTACAAGGTCTGGTTGACTTTTAGCACGTTTATTGATTTCATCAAAAGCTGTTTTAGCTTTTAATTCTACTTCAGATGATGATGTTGAACTTTCCTGAAATTTATTTCAAGAAAAAAAAAAAAGAAAACAATTAAAAAATTCGTTTTCTTTATATCTTGTACCGTTTTGGTCATTTTGCTATGCGAAAAAGAAAATAAAAGATGTGCTACTTTCAAAGATATTTAATCATATGCATTATCTCAATAAACTTTGTTGCTGTTCTTTATTTACTCTGAGAGATAAAAAATGTAAGCGATGAGAGTTGAAATTTAAGTTCTTTTTTTTTGTTTTTTTTTTACCTGAGCAGTGCCTGGTGTGTTTGTATTAAGAACGACATCGTGTAAGTCAACATAACCACCTGTTAATATCGTTTGATTTGATTCTGGTACCTATTCGAAAATAAAAACGACAAAACAATTAACAATGAATTTTGAAAGAATAAACCTTTGATTCAAAAAAGATTCGATTTCCTTCACGCCACATATGTGTTTCAATAGTTTGACCAGGTTCAACAGGTTTAGAAAAACGAACCTATAAACAAATTTATTTTATTGTTGATTAAAATTCATAACTTTTCTTCTACTTTAATAGCTTTAAATAATGCTGGATTATTGTTCGCATATGTATGTAAAACATGTCGAGCAGCATAACCAAATGAACATAAACCATGTAAAATTGGACGTGGAAAACCTTGGCAAAAAAAAAAATTTCAGTTTTTCTTTTTTTTACAAATGACTAATAGTCTTAAGAATACCAGCTGCTGATGCAAATGATGGATCAATATGTAATGGATTTGAATCACCATTTAAACGATAAAGTGCTGCTTGATCAATATTTGTTGTTTCACGACATATTTGATCAGATTTTCGTTGTGGTGCTGGAAGAGATTTTCGTTGATTTTCACTAGTTTTTTTACCACCAAAACCACCTGAACCAACAGAAAAAATCACAAATTGATTAAGAGCAATTAATTTTTCTTTTTCATTATACATTTCCACTAGAAAATATATCATAAACAAAAAATTAAAAGAATAGAAATTTTTTTCTACCATCAAATATAATTATAGCACCGGAACCTTTATCAAGTACATCAACAAGTTTTCCTTTTAATATCACAGTACCCGATGTTGGTAATGGTTCAAATAATTCAACATATTGTTCACCATGAAGAGCCTATGATGAAAAAAAAACCTCAAACGCTTGTCTCTTTTGTTTTAGTTATTTATTTAAATAAAAAATTTACTCGTAATAAATCAATATCAATACCAAGTTTTCCTGAACTAATTAAATTCATTGATAATGATTGAGCTGGTATAACAGCAAATGTTGGTAAAGCAGAAAACTCTTCATGATTTTCATAAAGAAAACGTAATGAATTCGGTTGACGTAATGAACAACCAACAGAAAGTGCATATAAAATAATTTGATTTGCTGTATAAGAAAATGTTTGAGTAATAACTTTATCATCATCGTTATTATTCAATTTTCTTATAGTATCTAACAAATGTGTTACTTGTTCAGTTTGTGTTAAATGATGTAGTGATGTTGCAAAACTAATTATATCTTTCCAATTATCTCGTACATCTTCAACTGTCATTGGTGTATTCGGACGACGTACCATTGCACCAGATGATTTTTCTAAACGAACTTTACCTATCCATCCACCAGCTACTTCAAATAAAGAACCCGTATCAGTACAAGATTCATGACATAAATAAAGAACAAGTGGCATAACAAAAGCTGGTTTTAAATTTTCTTCCGCATCCGGTGGTAGAAGATCTTGTGTTAAACGTGAATATGCTGTTGGTGCAATAGTATGACATGTTATATTATATTTAGCTCCTTCAAGTGCAAGTGTATTTGATAAACCAACTAAACCCATTTTAGCAGCACTATAGTTTGCCTATAAATAAAATGTTTTTGTTTTTTCATCGTCATCAAAACGATATTAAATATGTCGAGTTTCAGTTGGATATAAAGTATCTTTTACTGGTATTTAGAGAGATGAACAACATTAAATTTGAGATATCTAGAACAACAATTAGTTCTATTGATGAGCGAACTCTTCCAAATGATAATTTCTATTTTGTTGATTGTTAATGTTCTTTGTGTAGATAAAAATCTTAAGTAGATTTGGGTCATTGACATTTTCTTTTTTAAGTTGTATTCATTTTACTAAATTTTCAGCGTATTGTAGGTATTACAAGAAAAATTCGGTGAAGGATATTTGGTGTGAAATTTTAATCGAAAATATATTTCATGATGCTTATAATATTCTGAATGTTTTAGGAAAAACAGATGGCTTGTTTCTCAAAGATATGGCACTTGTTTGTATCGTGTGCGAGAGACCAGCTGTTTTGTAACTCTCTTATTTTGAGACAGAAGCATTCATTTTTGTTGAAACTTTAAAGATATTATAAGAATGATCAGATCTATTTCAAGCATAAAATTTCAGGCTAAAACTTCATGATTGAATTTTCCTCATAATATCCTGAAATAGATTGAAGATTCAATAAAATGATCATAATTCAACAACAAATGATTAGTGGCACAAATTCGTTTAGGACTCTTATATGCACAATGGACCATGACAGTCGATAAAATAGAAATTATCTTTTTTTGGAAGAGTTCTCTTGTGAGTTCATATAAAATGATTATGTCTTTTTTTAATAGCGCTGGAATCGGATATTGGCAATGTCGTTTAAGTTCCGGGACTAGGATCAACAATTTTTCATTGAGAATGATAACTTTTATAGTTGTGAAAACCTTGTGTCACATGTCATAATGTCAGCAGTCATATGTTCTAATATATATGAGCAGCATGGTCTCGCTTATGTATAATTAGAATGGAAAGAACTAAAATACTGACATTGGGTATGTCACAATATCAATGTCATTTGATATTGACTGACATTCGTATTGATTGGTGTCAGTACCAACATTTACCAATATCTCAATATCTTATTGATTTTGTGACATGCCTAGCTGAAATATTGATCATTACACAAGACGAAGACGATGATATGGACTTTTATATAACTAGCTTATGATGTACTTCATACCAGAGATGGGATTGTTTCGGTTCGCACTATCTCAAATCAACTTTAGTTTCGGTTCCGTTTAAATTTTCAAAAAACATGAACCAATCTTATTTCTGCTTGATGAATTTTAATTTATATAATGAAAGTCTGAGGTCACTAGCACTCTCTTCTACTATCTAGAATATTTTTTTTCGTTATTCATCGAAATAGATATGTAATAAAGATTTTGTTTTTCTTTATTCTTGTATAAAAAGTTAAATCGAACCTGTCCAAAATTGCCATAAAGACCCGATGTTGATGTAGTAAATATAACTCTTCCATATTTTTGTTGTCTCATATATGACCAAGCTGCATGTGTTAATAAATAAGCTGCTCGTAAATGAATACGATGTACAAGATCCCAATCTTGTTCTGTCATATTCATAAAACTTTTATCACGTAAAATACCTGCATTATTTACCTAAAATAATTGAATACATTCATTAATTTGAATTGAAATTCTTTTATTTTCATTTACAAGAATATCAATACGACCAAAATTCTTAATTGCTGTGTCTATAACAGCTTTTCCATCTTCAACGGAATGATAATCAGCTACAGCTTTTCCACCACGTGATTGAATAAGTTTAACAACTTCATCAGCTGGTCGAGCTGAATGACTACCATCACCTGATGGATTCCCACCTAGATCATTAACAACAACACTTGCACCACGTTCACCAAATGCAAGTGCATATTCCTAACAAAATATAAAAATTTATTTCATTTTGTTTTATAAATTGTTTTTTTTTTTTTCAATACTTTTCCTAAACCATTACCAGCACCAGTAACAACAACAACACGACCTAAGAAACGAAGCATATCTAAAAGAATACAGAAACTAACAAAGGTGTATTTTTGCTTTTAGCAATTGTTAAAAATAAATTTATTGTACAAAATAAACAAAAGCTATAATACAAATTGAAAGTGTTTCATTTGGTGAAAATGACCAATCCCATGGTATTGATATAGTACCATTTTGTGCTAAATTATAATTTTTATCAATTTTAAGACGACATTTTGTTAAGATATTTAAAAAATGTTGACGTTCATTAAGTAAACGTTGACAACATTGATTAATATCACTTTTTTTTAATCGTCGATTTATTAGTATATCAGTTAAATTAAATTGTTCTTTTATTATTTCAAGTAAATTACGTTCTTTTTCAACATCTTTTTCATATAATATTCTTGTTTCTTCAGCTTGTTTTCTATTAGCAATCATAAAATCTAATATATCCATAGTAGCATCAAATGCATTGATTTGAAAAAATCCACTATTTGTTAATGATGCTTCGGAACTATATGGATTTATAAATAAATAAAAATTTGTCCATGATATTTTTCTATGTGCTTCATGATGGCAATTTAAATTAAGATGTGAACTTAATTGTATAAGATGATATAAATATGTATGTGCACGACATAAATATTCGGAATCAGGATCTTGTCCAATTTTAATACCATGAAAATATTGACTAAGATTATTTTCATATGAGGCTATTTTTTCCATATATTTATTTGACTCAAGTAATTCACAACAAATAACATGATCCCAATAAATAGGTGGATCATTAGCACTTAATTCAAGTGAACCATCTTGAAGTAAACATGATTTATCTCCAAATATAAGTCGTTTACCTATGTTTAAGAATAATAAGGAAAAAATTATTATTATTATAGGTCAGTATTACTTTTCGTATGCAGAAGAATACAAAAAAAAAAAATTCTTTCTAGTCAGGTCGAACTCATAAGAAAAAGATAAAAGATAAGATAAATAAGTAATAAAAAGAAATTTCAACTTTAAAATACTTTATATACTTTCTATTACTAGATATGTTTTGCTTGTTTTTGACGATAATGAAAGGTTCGAAGAATAATTAGATTATCATATAGTCTATACTTAAATAAATTTACCTACCAATTAACTATGGATAGTTTATATCAAATAGATTGAGATATGCATCGACTACTTCAGTTTTTCTTTGAGATTAAATCTTGAGATGGTTTCTATGCTCATAGTGAATGTATACAAGTGTTCAAAAAACAGAATGAAAACAGCTTTATGAAAAGCAAGCCTTCTTTTCAGAACTACAATGTGGTAAAAGACAATTATTGAAGAACAAAAATATTGAACATTTGAAATGCTCTTTTGGTAATATCTTAAATCGATAATGCTTACCGAATATTATTCCCTTTGCGATTATCTTCTTCGCTAACGCTATGAATTTTCAAGTCTAAGTAATTTCATTATTATATATATATATATATATCTATGAAAAATATTTTTTTATAGTTACATTTAAGAAATACCTTGTAAAGTTAAAAGTTTGTTATGCCATTTATCAGCATACATAATTAATGTTCTTAAACAAGTAGAAAATTGTGGTACAGACCACTCATCACTATATTCAATTGATTTAAGTTTAAAACGTTCTTTAATACTATTAACTTTATCATTGATATCATTTAGTAATTCTTGATGTCGTTTAGCTATAATACGTGCTGCTTCAACATTATTTGTTAACCATGTTCCAAAAAAACAAAAATTAAGAATCTCAATAAAGAAAAAGAGAATTCGAAATATTTTATTCTTACTTAATTGATATTTTAGGAATTTTTGTAAAATCATAAAATTTTTCAATTTCAATTATGTTGAATTGAATTTCATGTCGATCAACTTGTTTTTGTTCTTTTGGTCTATTAACAATAGGTAAATTCAATGCAGTTAATATGCTATTTACACTAGCTAAAAGATCATTTGAATTGAGTGTAATACGATGAGAAATTAATGAAATCTGTGCAGCTAAAATTGAAAAAAAAAAACACGAAAATCAAAATAAATAGTAATGAATAAATTTTCTAGGAAAAGTTAACTCACGCGGAGATGACTTTGACGATGATTTTGTAAAGAAAGTAACACTGATTGATGCCATATATTCTTTACGTTGTAGTCCAGAAAGATAGGCACTAACCAATTGTAAACTTTTTTCATTAACATCCTTTAATGCAAAAACAAAACAAGAAATAAAATTATCTAAGAACAATTTTTATTTTTCTCATATTGAATTACTTTTTCTTTTGGATATTGAGAAAATAAATCAGGATGAACTTTTAAATAAAATTGTTTTAAGGCTGCTGAAATTGTTTCACATCGATCTGTTGATGAAGAACAACGGTATAATAAATATTTATTTGTAATATTAGCAAAACGAACTACTAGATGATAAGGCCTTGTCAATATCATCTGGAATTAGATGTATGATGAACAATACATATATATATATATAAATATATCTATTACACTTGACATAATTTAATTAAAAAAAAGAAAGAAGGAAAAAAAAATTAAAACATGGTCATAAGATTATCAGTCTCTTTTTGTTTTTCTTCCATTAATTTCCAATCGGCTCCATTTTGATATTCGTCAAAAATACGTAACTAAGCAAAGAAAAATATTTTCTATCAAATTTATTAATTAATAAAATCTAATTACTTTATCTTGAAGTTTTTGTAATTGTAAAAGCATATATGATAATTGATTTAATAAATCAGTCAGTGCTGGTACATTAGCTTCAATCTAAATAATGAAAAAACAAAGACATAAAATTTTTCATTAAAGTGATTATCAATTCTTATTTATTTTCTTGTACATACAAAATGTTTAAAATAACCACTTGACTTTCCCTGAACACTTGTATGATAAACAGCAAATGATAATTTTGAACCTTGAACATAAAAACTAAATGCCATATTTTCTGGTATTGGTGGTGTAAAAATTGCCTATCAACGAAAAACAAAAACAGAATAATTTTAATTTAATTCAATAAAAAATTTCTTGTCATTTTTATTACTGTATTTTTATTTCGTCTTAAATCATCAATGCGTTTTTTCTTTGGTAATAATATATTATCTTTTGCATTATTAACACAATCAATAATTAAATCAAGATATTGTACAGCTTTATACAATTGTTCAATATTACGCTCAAAATCTGTTAATACAACATAACGTAATGCACGTTCCAGATGTTGTCTACATTCATGTAACTAAATGAAAATGATTTTTAGTTTTTAATTTTCAAAAAACAAAAAAAAAAAAAATAAATTATTCTTTTTATTTTTATTACTTGTTGAAGAGACCAATATTTCATTTGTTGTGTTGCTATTGTTGTTCGAAATGCATTATTCATTGGTGGTTGAACTTTTGTTCCAGCTTTATAAATAACATCCTAGAAAATTAATCATAATAATATTTTTTTTTTAAATATTTCTTGTATTTACAGCTATTGTTATGTCTGAACCGAGTAAAGTTACAGTACATTTTAAAATTTCACTATTTCTAAAAATAAAAAATAAATTTTGTTTAGTTTTAATATAATAAATTTTAATCATACTGAGGATGAGTTAATGACAATACGATTGGTTTAGCAGTAGCATCAGATGTTGTTATGTCTGTTGCTAAAATAAAACAAGTACAAAGAAAAATTAAAGATTTAAATTTTTGATCAAAAGTCTTCTTCCTCCTCTTATTCCTTTTTGTATCAAACCCTTTAGGCTCAAATGAATGTGGATATACAAGCGATATAAATACTGTAGTTTAGTGTAGCGTATGATTGATTAGTCTGTTTCAATGAAGCATGTATGGCATTCAATACAATTGGCTAACACTAAAAATGAGTTGATTGATAAAATATTTCATGACTAGATTATTTCTTTTCTTCTTTCAATATTTTCTGAATGTTTTGTTAGCTTTACTATATATGTCTTTGTATAATCGACTCTACTGCATTTTCAGAAGAGCTTCGTATTGACGATGAAGAGACATTAATGATCCAAACCATTAAAACAGTTAGCAGATACAAAAAAAAAGAGATAAACCAGTCGGGATACATTCTATCAATCAACTCATTTGTAGTGTTACTCAATTGTATTCAAAGACACATATTCTTCATTGCGGCACATTGTCATCAATCATACAACACACTAAAATGGAGCACTTAAGTCATCCTTATAACTAATATTCAATTGAAACCAAAGTGGTTCTTGACGAAAAGAATGATGGCACAGGAGGGAAAAGCTTTTATCTAAATATGTAAAATGTCAAAATCAAAAGCTTACACTCATCTGGACGTTTTAATGAACAAATAGACGTCTGTAAAAGAAAAATAGAATAAAAAATTATGAAATATTAATGGAAAATTTAAGATACTTTAAGAATATCAGTTATTTCTGTTAGAACACGATCGAAATCATTGGTCATTAAATCATTTAATTCACGATGCTAAAAAATTAAAAAAAATAAAATTTTATTACAACGATTTGAATTTTTCGATTGTACTAATATTAGATTTTAATAATATTGTCTAATAAGGAATGTTTTTCTTGTTGATGTTTGAGGTAAAATCATATTTGAAATGGTTCAATTTTTTATTTTATAGATATAAAATTAAGCCTCTTTCCCTAAAAAAAAAAGGTTAATTCTCGTCAAAAATGTTAAAATTCACCAGAAAATAATCCGAGGTCTGAGTCCTTCATAAAATGTCGTGACATTTTATATAATACCTCGTTTTCTCCAAAAATTTCCGTCATTTTCTGCTACAAAAAATATGTTTTTTTTTTCAGACAAAAGAGAAAATCTTGTTTCACTTTTTTATGGTACATCTCAGAATTTTTGCAAGAACTTCATTCTAGTTAATGATGCTTTGTTCTATTTGAAAGATCATGTCTAGATGCACGATATGACATAGCCAGTCTTTTGAATTAACTTTTGTCACAATCATGTAAAACGAATACTTTCATAATTAGAGCGCCATTTTTCAAGACATTGAACTTTTTCTTTTTAAAAAGTAAGAATTTAAAATAAAGGACTCTATCATATCCTACATCGTGACATACTCTTTCAAATAACAAAAAATTAAGTCTAGAGAAAAAATATAGGACTGAAAATTTTACCATAGGCTCTTCAATATAGTTTTAACATATTCTGAAAATTTTATACAATTTGAATGTATACAGATCAAGAACGATTTTTAGAACAACAATATTATTATTATTAGGACTATAATCAAACACATGTATGCACGATAAAATATACCTACCAAAACATTACATTCTTCAATTAATTCTGCTTGTTGTTCATCTTCCATAATAATATAGTTGTATTTTTATCTAAAAGAAATCAAGTAAAATATGATTATATTGCCATGTTCATATGTTTGTTTTTCGTATTTTATAAAAAAAAAGGTAATACATGCATAAGAGAGATAACGAGGTATGTTTTTCTTGTTTATCTCAGCCATAACAAGCAGGACTGATCTAAAGTAGCGAATGTTGAGGGAATATCGCGGTTTTTTTAGAAAGTTGTACATATTTTTTCCTCAGAGAGCATAGGAAAATTTTTCGGGTCCACTGGGAAATAAAAACAAAAATTTTTCATGATTGGATGAGTTGCATACACTTCTCGCTCAGCTCAACTTTGACAATAGCTAAATAATTATTAAAAATTTCCATTCATATGTTCTATTCATTAAAACATCAATAGAGCATGTGAATACTACATGTTGTAGATGCGTACTCAACTTGCAAACTTTGTCTTAATGGAATAAATGTATACAAGATGTCTCAAAAGTCTGCTACGACAAAAAGAACGTAAATATCTGCCAAACAGTGTCAACGATGTTCTGTTTCATATAATATCGACTAAAACAAATGCTTAATATGATTACTATATATCCTGAAATATATAAATCTATTCAATTCAAAATATTTGAAAAAATACTACAGAAAATTTATTTTTGAATTCAACTAGAGCTTTATTTGTTATAATACATATTAGTTTTCACTTTATATTTATAGATAAACCATTTAGCTAGATTAGAGTGGCCTCATTTCATAAAAGCAGAATTTTCTTGATCGTTAATATTGGCGTCAAAGTTTTCTAACATGAACTCAATCTTGTGAATCTCCTTCGTAAATTTGTATGTCTTCATTGGAAGATACTCAGTCATAAATTGATGTGCTCATTGCTCTGGAAATCAATCACACTGTTGTATCAATCCCAAAAATAATCATTAATGACTTTTTCCATATACATTATGAACGTCGTTAGTTTTTTTTTCTAGTAAGTTTTGAAAGTAATTCAGAGCTTTATCCATTTGATAGTGTAATAATTTCAGAAAAGCATTGAAAAGTATCTCTAATACTGTCTACGGCGTACACTTATCTGTCCAATTCGTCTTGAGTTTTTTGTTTCACAATTATTTGTGACTCAAATTTGAACATTAATAAAAAACGACTTAAATTCTAACATTTGCAGTCATGGGTGTTTACCAGATATTATATATATAGAATATCATATTATAAAAAATTACATAAATCTTTTGAACTAATTAAAACAATGGACTTTTGGAACATCCTGTGTGGTGTTTATGTTCATGATACTATATACATAAACGATCATAATGAACATCTATTTATTGAATATTTCTAATCATGATAATCTGATTTTAAAAGATACATGCTTGATTCATAATAGTATCACAAAAACAAAATATAACAAAAACTATTTCCTATGAATAAAAAAGGAAGTTTAAAAAATAAGAAATATTCAAGATTATAAAAATTTTACCGTCACGTTATAACAAATTGATTCATATTGATTTATGAGTTTAATTTTCATCGATTGTTTGATTATGTTTATCAAGTAACTGTATAAGAATTCATTTTCTTTTTGTTCATAGTGAGAATTCACAACAATCTGTTATATTCGACGACGATATTAATTTTATTTATTCTCTTATGTACAAACATGTTCAATATTAGATGTTAAACAATATGTTGTTATAAATAAAAAATTATTTGAATCATTTGAATAAGGATATTTTTATTGATTCAATTTTATTTAAGACAAAAAGAAAATATTTATCTATGTAAAATGATTGATGTCGCAAAAATGAATACTACTAAAATGAAAAATCAAATATATATTGAAAGATTTAGTAACAAACAAAAGGTTTACGCTGTCGAAAAAATTTAATTTTTCTATTTCTTAGTTACGATATAACAAAAAAGTAATTGGATATCTTGTAAAATAATTCTTAAATGTTGCTAAAAGAACGCATTAATCAATTTTTAATTATAATTTCACAAATTCGTGAATTATTAATTCAATGTTATCTTTTATGAAAATTACTATCAACAAAAGAAAAAAAAATGTGGAACTAAATTTTTTTTTTGTATCATGATTATCAACATCGTCGCAACATCATCTACTACTACTTGTTTTCTTCTAATTTGTATGGTTGATTTATATAACCAATGAACTATTTAGCAGCTAAAATCTTCAGCTAAATAAATCTATATCATCATCGAAGAACGAACAAACGAACAAACGAAGGTGTGCTTCTCTTTGTATATTTATTTCTCTGTCTCTCTCTCTCACTCACTCAATGCACACATCCAAAATCCTGTCTAACGACGAGTAAAAGATAAGCGTTCGTGTGTCTATGCGGAACAACATATATACTTTATATTTTAATAAATAATAAAAAAAATAAATAAATGTACGTAAAAAGAAAAAACTCATAAATATAAACTTAATATAATCATTTATACATAGACTTTCGATGATTGTCGCTTCACATATAACTCAACAACAGGTATATCCATATCAGAAGAAAAAACAACAATAACGAAATCTTAATATATATATATATTTTTTTTTTTTGATTAGGGTAAAATTGATCCTGAAGAAATATTCGAACGACATGATCATATTGGTCGAGGATCATTTGGAGTAATTTTATTCTAGTTTTTTATTTATTCATTTATTTATTTGTTTATTTTCTAGGAAGTTTATAAAGGTATAAATAAAAAATCATCTAATGTTGTTGCAATAAAAATAATCGATTTGGAAAAAGCTGAAGATGAAATTGAAGATATTCAACAAGAAATTCAAGTACTTTCTCAGTGTAATTCACCATATATAACAAAATATTTTGGTTCTTATTTAAAAGTAAAAATAAAACATTTCTTTGTTTGTTTTATCTTTAAATTAATTCTTTTTTTTTCTATAAAAAGGGAACTAAATTATGGATTGTTATGGAATATCTCGGTGGTGGTTCAGCACTTGATTTAATGAAACCAGGTCCATTTGATGAACAGTATATAGCTATAATTTTACGTGAAGTCCTTAAAGGTCTTGAATATTTACATTCGGAAAAAAAAATTCATCGTGATATTAAAGCTGCAAATGTTCTTTTATCAGAAAATGGTGATGTTAAATTAGCTGATTTTGGTGTTGCTAAACAATTAACTGATTCAATTAATAAAGGAAATACATTTGTTGGTACACCATTTTGGATGTCACCAGAAGTTATTATGCAACATAAATATGATTATTCAGTAAGAAATAATAAAGAAGTTATTTTTTCTTTTTAAAACTTTTTGGTGTGTGTTTTTTTTTCTAGGCAGATATTTGGTCACTTGGTATAACAGCAATTGAATTAGCAAAAGGTGAACCACCATATTCTGATTTACATCCAATGAGAGTTTTATTACAAATTCCAAAAAATCCACCACCACAATTAGTTGGAAATTATTCAAAATTTTTTCGAGAATTTGTTGAAGCTTGTTTACAAAAGAATCCTGAACATGTATGTTGAACAAAATAATGAAAAATTTTTCTGATATATTAGTTTTGTTTGATAAATTAGAGACCAACAGCTCAACAATTACGTCGATTAAAATTTGTATCATTAAATAAATCAACTAGATTTTTAGTTGAATTAATTGAACGTTATAGACGATGGAAAGAAAATCATAAAAATGGTGCAGGATCAGATAGTGAATCAAATTCGGATGAAGAAGCGTAAAATATCATTTAAAATATTGACAATAAAAAATAGAAAGAAAAAACATACATTTTAGATCAAAGGATAAAACATTTCGATGGAAATTTGATGGTGATGATACAGTTAGATTATCATCAGCAAATGGAATTTATTCGGTAAAATATTTTTGTGTTTTTCTCAGAAAATTACTTATTAATATTCATTTGAACGGAAAGGCTAGCGGAAATTTTTTTAATAAGTTTCGGTAGAAACAAGATTGAGAGTTATGGCTTTCACTTTTAGAAAGAGGAGATGAAGGCGCATTGGATCTTGTATATTACTTTCGACCGAATGTTTGTTAAGATCTTCAATAATTATGTGTGCGTCCGAACCGCTAACTCAACCTAATTTTTAATCAATCGCTATGAAAAAAAAATCAGATTTTCGCTTTTTTTTTTCTTTTGATGAATGGAACCATATTTCCGACGCTCTTTTAAAAATAAATTCGATCAAAAACCTTTAGAGAACATCTTAGGAGAACTTGTAATATATGATTCAATGTGATTTTATGTCCTTTTTTCAATAATGGAAACTGCAGTACTCTATCTTGTTCCCATAAAAAGTTATTCCAAAACAAAATAACCACTCGCCTCTTTTTTTTTAAATGACTATTAGTTACGAGAAACATATCATAATTAAGCTATATGTATATGTTAAACTGATACGCTTTGTTTATGAACGAAATTCTTGACTTGAGTGATTGATACTATGTACAGTATAGATGAAGATTAATCATTTAGCTACTGTTGTGGTGGCGTAACCAAGGACGAACTATACCGGGCATCACTCTATCCCTAAAAGAAAGAAAAATGTAATAATTACCATCATTGACATTACATTACAGAGATTTTTTTCCAAGATCATAGAGTATTGCTCAACTATCCCACTCCCACGATCTTCTGGTTACGTCGTAAATGTGTTCGGTCATATTTGATTCATTCATTCATAGAAATTATCTATTTGGAGGAACAAAGAATTAGATCAAAACGATTACCAAACATTATGTAGAGTCTGTTGGAAAATAATGTTTTTTTTTTATTTAATTACACCGACTGATTATTCTGATATTGGTGAGGTTGATATTTATACTACTACAAGTATATTCTATTTGTAGAGTAGTTTGAGAAGTTTTCTTGTTTATAAATACGAACACAACAGTTTTCCATGACAACTTGAGTCATTTTTTATTCATTTGTAATGAGTAACATGAAAAATATTTTTTTCGAAAGTTGTTTTATTTTAGCTATAAACTTATAAATAACATTATTCGCATGCTAAAATCTTTATTATAATCAATAGTCATTGAATTCGATCATCGTTTTTATTTTTAAGTAATCTCTTATTGATACATATATATAGAAAATTGCACCTGTTATTATGATCTTTCATGTAGAAGAAATCTTAACAATAGGAATAAGTGAATATCGAATCAGAATCAGAACCAATGATTTTATATTATAAAAAGAAAATCAAACCTAACTATACCGGCACGATTCTGAAAACAGAAGGCCTTATTTCAATGCTAAAATAGTCACTTTTGAAAGTGTCTAACCATATGTTATCCTTCGAAATGAATCATTTTTCAAATAACAATTCATGATAAGTAGGTTTTCTAGTGTTATATAGATGAAATAACTGCATAGCTATGGAAGGCTGTAAAAAAATTAAAAATTAACAATAAATACAATTTTTATGTTATTCAAGGCGAATGGTTCATTTATATCCTATTCTGTATCTCCCGAGCGACATCACTTTGCCAGAATTCCACTATACCAGAGTTATAATCAGCATTTGCATAAGCTATTGTCATGGTTTATTCAAGACCAACTCTAATGGATTAGCTTTATAGGGTAAAGGATTAAAGTCGATATTGGTTAGAGAGCAATGGTTATATTGACAATTTTAGGATAAGTGATTGTATATGAGAAAAAAAAAACAAAGATTGATCTTACTAATCAGTGTCGTTTCAATGAAATAAAATCACTATTGTTTTAGTACCATTTTTGAAATTAATAAAGAAAAAACTTAACATTTTATAACTCTATCAATCAACGAATACTCGTTCAGAATAGATGATTGATTAATCGTAATGTCACTCGATAGACAATATACAATTCTTCTCAACTGAAACCTATAAATAGAGTTTTTAGTAGTACTTTTGAGACCATAAATGTGTGAATAGATATGGATTGTTGTTATTTTATTGGATTCTTTCATTTCTATGAAATCATACATAATCGAGATACAAAAAATCAAATAAACTTAACAAAAAATGTTGAGTAAAACCTTTTTCTACACAATGAAAAATATATAAAAATGCAGTATTTTGTAATATGTTCATGTGAAAACTTTCTAGCTTTTTTTTTTCAGAATAATAAAAATATCTTGATTCATTTTTGTTTTAATGCATCATAATCCAATAAAATAAATAATTCAACAGAATAATAACAGAAAAATTCTTCTATTTCTTCCTATAGAATTATTCTAAATCATCTACATTGTTGTGAACTTCTTTAAATGCGTAGATTTAGAGATGTGCGGAGTCACAAGAACAAATTTATCGGAACCATGGGAAAGAGAAAATGCTGAGACCCGGGGATCGGAACTATCAGAAAAAAAGTTGTTCCATTCGGGATTAAAGATTATAGTTAAATAGTCTATAGTTTTAAGCGAATAATATTACGAACCATGAGTTAGAATATACTTCAAAAGAGATGACTACAAAACAGTATTAGTCGTCGACTAAATGAATCAAAAACATGACTATTAAAGAATTTTTTTTAGATGTGCCACAAATAAATTTCCGAGTGATTTTCTCAAGACCAGAATCCAAAAAACTAACATCACCGGGACCAATAAAAAAGAAGCTATGAGGACTGAGATCAAAAACTTTGGTTCCGCACATTTCTAGTTAGATTTCTAAACATAGAACTTCTCAAATATAGAACTTAAATAGAAAATAATGAATTTTCTAGTCGAATAAATCTTTCGCATATACTCGAATGCTTTTCCTATAATAGTATGCATTGTTTTTGTATTATAAAAATTGTTTAAATTTAAATAGTAAAAATATGATTTTTGGATATCCATTGGAAAAATATATTTCCGTATATTTTATTAATTGAATTAAATCTTTTTTTAAATCTTTTTAGTCTCCTGAATCCATTGAACTAAATCCAATATTTAAATCAATATTTGATGATGTAAATAAAATAAAAGTTTATTCTTTTTTTCTTACTCTATTTCTAATAAAAAATTTTCTTTTTATTTCTCATAGCTTTCTATTCGCTTTAATATTCCAACGACAATATCGAATAATAACTCATCGAACGGTATAATACGTAATACTCAAAATGGTGTTGAATTATTTCAACATTTACGTCGTATATTTGAAAATGCTCAAATACGTTATCCAGGTTTTAGTGATGAATTTGTTCGAACAATGCGTGAACATATTTCAAAAGTCAATAATCCATCATCATCATCTTCAGCGGCAACATCAGCAGCAGCAGCAGCAACTAAAAATACTTCAACAACTGATGATAATAACAGTCAACTTATATCGGGTGTTGTTAAATTGAGAATTTAAATTTTCTTATTTCATTCATTCGTTTCTTTTGTTTCTTTTTTTTGCTATGATTTCTCTCATTGTTCGATCAGATAAATCTCTTTATATGAAATGAGAGATGTCATCTTCTTTCGAAACTATATATATACATATATATATACACACACACAACACAAACATTAAACTATATTTATTCAATGTACATATATTTTTTTTGTTTCAAGCGTTAGGCAACGATAACATCTTTCATTGTTTTGTTATCTATAAGCGTTTAATTATTTGCTATATTTCATTCCTAGAAAAACCAAAAAACAAAACAATTATTCTTATTTACATATATTTGTACAACAGTGATTCTATTTTACGTTCTCCTGTTCATTACTATTAGCTTTTTTTCTCTTTTGTTTATGGGCGAACTCAAAACTTGTTCACTTTACTTTGCTCGGCCAGGCTGAAATTCTTCTTTTCTTCTTTTTTGTTCTATTTTTTTTTCGTTATTTGCTTCTTCTTCTTATATACTTGCGATATTTGTGAAATGAGAGAGAAAAAATCGAAAAGAGCCTGCCTTTGTTTTTCTTTTTTTTTGTTTCTTGTTTCTGGCTAATGATGCTTATTTCAAATATAAAAATCGCAAAACAAACACATCTTGTAAAACGATATATTATTATTTTAGTTTTCTTTTCATATTAGAAGTAACTTAAAAATAATAAAGATTTTCATCTTATTGATTTGTTTGTTGAAAACATTGATCTTTCTATTGAAATATTTTTATCTATCATTATGATATTATGGCAAACTAGTATGAATGTTTTATGATAATCTTAAAAGTTTTCTCTTGTATGACAAATAGTTATTCAAGACTATTTTTGACTATTATATTTACTCTACACGTTCTCTATTTGATCTTATTTCGATATATCTAGTTGTTACTATTGTTGATTATAGATTGTAGACAGCAATTAGAAAAAAAGATGCAGCAAGTAAGAATGAACTTAACTTTAAATTACATACAAATCCAAGTGTTTCGCATATCGATGAGTAATGACTTTCGTTGTGCATCAATGACAATTAATCGATTAAATGAACGTTTAACTGCATGTCAATAGATATAAAATAAAGATATTCATCGAATGACAGAACATATTGGAAAAAATAAATCATTGAGTTTTAATTCTTACAACTAAAACAAAACGTTTGATTAGTTGATTCAATATTAAATTCAAATAATAATAATAATAATAAAAATAAGCTTTTCAAATGAACATTTAACGACAACTTTAAACACAAGGTTTATCTGCACATATTTACTCAAGCTTATGTTCACATTCTTGCATTTTTTGTCTTTCAATTTACTTCTCTCTCTTTTTTTTTGTTATTCATTCGATCGTATGTTTAGATATTCTCGCAAAGTTTTGTTTAATAAAAAAGACAAAAATGAAATATCTTTGACCTTCTCTTTCGTTCACTCGATTTGAATTCTAAAGATAAAATATCAAAAGTGATGAGCTCTTGTTCTTTCACTTCATTCAGTACACATAGTCAAATTAGGGTGTTCTTTTTCTTGATACATTTATGTGAGTCGATGCATAACAAAATTACTTGAGAATTTGCTATCATATTTCTTCAGCAGATTGTTTTTTTCTCACAATTTCATATCATTTAACCAATTTTTCTATTGTGGTTAATCAAGTATAAAGTAAAATGTCTTTTTCTTTTTTGGTCATTTTTTTATTTATCTCGAACAGCGGCGAGACAGGCAAAAGAATGTACGTCTATATATATATACATACACACATATAGAAGCAGCAAAAAAGAAAGTAAGGATAACACACGACTATAGTTATAGTAATAGTAATATATAGCAAATAGTAGTCTCGGCGTTCATAACACGCCTTACATACAAAACAAATGTAATAAACAAAACAACATCAAGAAAGAATAGAAGACGCAATAAGGAGCATATTATCTGCAATGAATGATGAGATATAGAAAGAAGATATGTCTACAGGATACACACACACACGAAAAAATAGATGTTATAGTAAATTATGTACATGTTTTCTTATAAGACTTCATTTATTTCTTCTTTGCTGCGGCTTTTTTTGGACTTTTCGGTTTTTTTGTTGTTGCACTCTTACGTGCTGGTTTTGTTGCAGTATTGGTAGATGTATTTGCAGCAGCGGTTGCGGGTGCTGCTGATGCAGCAGGTGTTGCTGTTGTTGATTTAGTAGACTTTTTTGAAGCACTAGCTTTTGGTTTTGATGCACTAGCAGCCTTCTTCTTAGGTGATGCTGCTTTCTTCTTTGGACTTTTAGCTTTAGTACTACCTGCAGCCTTTGGTTTAGCTGGTGCTTTTGTTGTAGGTTTAGCTGTACGAGCTAAAAAACAAAAAAATAAATAAATTTATAATTCTTTTTTTTTCTAATTAACTAACCTGTTGTAGCTTTTTTAGCAGTTGTATCAGCCTTTTTCTTGGTTGCGGTAACAGCCGGTGTTGTTGCATTGGTACTAGCATTAGCAACCTTCTTTGTTGATGCCTTTTTTGTTGGTGATGCTGAACGTTTTCGTTTTTTAGCTGCATCAGTTGATTTAGCTTTACTTGATGATCGAGCTTTATTTGTTTTAGTTTCACCTGATTTTTTACTTCCACCTGATGTTGTTGATCGACTACGTGGTTTTGTTGTTGTTGATTTCTTTGTTGTCGTTGTTTTCTTCTTGCCAGCTTTTGATGCAGGTTTCGTTTTTGTTGCTGTAGCTAATTTAAAACTTCCACTAGCACCAATACCTTTTGTTTGTTTTAATGTATTATTTTTTGTACCAGCTCGTAATGCTGATTTAAGATGTTGATTGGCTGTTGTTGGATTAACTTTAAAGTTTGTTAAGATATATTTTAATATAGCTAATCTTGATGTACCATTACGATTATTTAATTCTGTTAATGCTTTTTTAATCATAACCGAATATTTTGGATGACTACTTGTACCTTTAGATTTTTTGTTTTTATTTGTTGATGAACCAGTTGCATTTGATTTGCTTTTCTTGCCTTTGGTATTAGCAGCTGTATTAGCTGTTGCACTTTGTGATGTATTAAGAGTTGTTGTACCACTTGTAAGATCAGACATGATGTTGAAAAATTTTTTTTCGAAGATTTATTCTTTCAAAAAAAAAAAAAGATGAAGTGAATATGAAGCAGAAAAAAAGTTGTATGTGTGTGCGCGCGCGCGATAGAGCGATGTCGATAGAATGAATGAGAATGATGGTGGTAATGTTGGTGGTGTATATGCGTCGTCGCCGTCGTCGTTGGCTTTTTTTCCTCTCCTTCCTTCTCCCGATCGACTCGAACCGCACATAGGACACCTTTTGTTACTCGAACTATCATAAGATTGTTCAAACCTTCTTGAAAAAATGATGAATATTTTCATAAAATTTAATTGTATATGAAAAAGATTTTGATTGAATATGATAGAGAAGACATTTTTCTATCGAATAATATATATTTCATGACGTTTTTCTAATAAAAACATCCAAAAAAATAGGTAAAAACACGGCGAACAAGATGAGATTTAGCGAATATTTGCAAAGAATTTAATTATTTTATTGAGATCAAAAACTTTTTTATAAATAAATTATATATGAGTGAATAGAGAAAAGTGTCTTCTATCGAATGACTACTTTGAAATTTTAAAACTCGTTCAAATGCGAAGGCAATTTTGGCAAAAAGCGAAGCATCTGATGAACAAAATGGGCCATACAAGAAATAACACAGAAAGACGGGATGACGATGTATTGCTATAGAACATCATCGACAATGTTCTTGTTGATTATTAATAATATTCTTATAAGATTATTTCCAGACGAATTTAGGAACATCATCCCAAGACTAAACAAATAGATACACAATAATGCAGTCTTGTTGTTTGTTTAATTGAAATAAATTAGCATAAATGTTGAAAAATAAAATTAAAATTTTTCTTTAATGCTTTTGTGTTCCTAAGCGGATTTGAATATTAAAATGAATCATTAATCTTATGATCATTTTCTAATAATAATTTCAAACGATTAAATCGATCAAATGTCTTTTAACAACTATTTATGTAATTACTATTTCATAAGTTATGCATGTGTAGATTTTTTTGGTGTATATTAAAAATTTATTTTTTTTTCTCCGTAGTAAAATTCACGATAACAAAAAAAGAAATATATTTTTTTCTATTGATTGTCTTTCAAAAATGTATACTGACAAGCATGAATAGCTTGTTGAACACGTATATTAATATATATGTTGATAAGATTACATGACATCCTACTGTATGTATAAATGTGCATGCGTTGATCTAATCTAGTTGAAGCAAGTATACTGTTCAGCGTGTTCTATCGGAGAATATGTATAATATCGATTTTTATCAATACCAAAACTAAATAGTTGTCTGGAAGGAAGGTTATATTCTTCCTAGAAGGTAGTTTAATCAATTTGATATTTTTAGCAATCAATATGATGATCAAAATATTATGTCTTTTATGAATAAAGAAAAATTTTGGTTAATAAAGGTCAGATTCAAAAAAAAAAAGTTTTATTATATCATTGTTAATTATCAATATTGGAATATTTGATTAACTAGACTTCATTTCCTTTTTTTTGAAATGGTTTCGAATGTGAGAGATTACTATTTCTTTTTTTTTAAAGTGCAAAAGATGGATTAAGCATGGTAAGTAATTATAAAAAGATTAAGATACACCTAGTCGAACAAAAATATATGTCAGCCTTTTAGGCTCATAATTAATGTCGATGCTACTTTAAATATTCCTTTCTTGTTCTATCCTTGTAACCAGAACAAATAGCACATATTTAATTATCCATGTACTAAAAAAGAGATCTTTTTATACTGTAAAAGCTTGAACTTGTTTTATGTACATTTCGATAAATATAAGAACTGCTTGCTTTGTAAACTTCTAACAATTAATCGTTATATTATGACGTAATGAAAGTTCAATGAAAATGACATGTGAATTGTCATAGTAAAATGATAAATTGAATAAAATGAGTTAAATATCTCTATGGAGAGGAAATAGATCATCAAGATAAGCATGACAAAATATTATTTTGTTATGCACATGCAATAAAAGACCATTCTTCGTTTCTTTTGTTAGTTTATAACAAAATGATAAAGTTTTTTTTTTTTTTCTTTACTTATCGTATAATTCTAATTATTCGAAATCAAAAAAACAAAACAATTAGTGTATATTCTAAGGTTTAATCTTATTCAATAAATAGTAGGTAAGTTCAATTCAATAAAAATGATATGAACATGATTGTTGAATCATTAAGTTTTTTAAAGAAAAGAATAAAACATTTATCTAAACAGGCACGCTCTCGTTTTTTATGACTACGAGCTATCAATGATAAAATCAACAGTTGGTAATTGATTTTTAAAGTGAATATTTCAACCATAAAACAATTCGATTGCTTGATTTTTACTAAAATAAAAACATCACTAAAATACTTTTTTGAAATTATAACTTTAATTATACGACCCTTGAATACTTTTACTTAATTCTTATTCGACTTAGTCTATGTTCAGTACATATTCGAAATAAAAGTTTTCTTTTTCTTTTAATGCGAAGAATGACATAGAGTTATATATGTAAATAACTTTATTAGTTTTTATTTGTGTCAAAATTAAATATCAATGGTTTCTGAAATATTTTAGTTACCAATGTATTCTATTTTTATATGATTTAGTCTTTGATTGTTATACAACTTGCATTCATTATTGTTTTTCTTGTATATACGTCGCTGTTATATGAGAACTACATTTTTTTTTAAACAAAAGTAAAAATAGAAATTTATTTATGAAGAAATGTGTTAAAATATATTATTTTATGATTTAATCAAATAGCCTTATTACCAAAAGTTATCCCGAGTTCGATTTTATGTATTATAGTTTTTAAGATTTTTTAATTTCAATAATTATTGATAAGAAAACATGAAAAATCAAGGACAATACGTCAATTTAAATTGTATATGAAAGAGTTTCTTCTTCGAGATATAACAATATAGTACTGATGATTGCGCTGTAAGACGAAAGTTTCGTAATTATCTTTTATGGGCTCATGTGAAACTAAACAATAGAGATGTTTATGTTGTAAGTTAATGAGACTAGACACATTCGGGTTAAATTAAACCACTCACCACTAAACTAACAAACTTAAAATATACTATCAACGATAAAATGCTAGAGAATCGTATTTTTGATAGATATCTCCATCGGTAGACAATGCACAGTTCTCAGAAGACTTTTTTGTCTGTAGAACTATATAGAGCTGGTTCTGCTGATCAATTCGATAAATTCTGGTGCTAGAGTCGAAATATTTGAAAACGTCAATTACCGCTCAGCAACAGTTAAAAGTATTCGAAATTTTCAAGTATTCTAATCCTAATATCATGATTTATTAAGTGAATTAGAAAATCTTTTTTTTATCAAAATGGTCAGCACGATGAGCTGTACAAAGTTCTACCAACGAAAAAATCTTCTGAGAATCTTATATTGTCTACTGATGGAAATATCCATCAAAAATACGATTCATAAGCACTTTGTCATTGATAGATAGACTGTTATTAGCGTGTCTAGATGGAGATATTGGAATTTTAAAGTATTGACAGTATATTTAATGTATTCACAAATCTAAATTTCCTCAAAATTTTCTTGTCATAGCTGGACAGACTTCGTCGAATTGCATTAGAAAAAATATGTTTCAAATTAAAAAAAAAAGTGTTTTATGAAAATCAGTATTTTCGGTCGATTTCCCTATATATTGGAAAATAACAGTACCTTGATCTTTCTTATAACAGATTTTTTTAAAAATATGAAACATACTTTGTCTTATGCAGCTCGACAAGCTCTGTTCAATTAGGACAAAAAAAGAAACCTACTAGAGTTTTCATTTGTGAATAGTTTATATATACAGTAAATGTCAAGGTTCGAAATGAGCAGCCCGTTTGAAACTTTATTTTTCTTTCCAAAAGAGATTCTCATGTAAGAAAAAAACAAACAGAAAAAATCTGATTTTAATCAGTTTTTAAAAAAAATAGTTTCACTCAATAAAACTTGATTAATTGATCAAAAAAGACTAAAATCAATTGAAATATATCTTTAAAGTGGAAAAATCAGATTTAAATCTGAATTCATCGAAAGTCATTACGTGGATTGTGTACTTTGTAACTGATAATAAACAGAAATCCTTATTATGCGAATGCTTCACAAGTTTCATTCAGCCAATAAATAAAAGCAGAACATTTATTCGATTCAATGACATTCCTCATCTTCACACAAGGCCGAGTACACTATCAATTGCATTAAGTGGCATGAGTATTGTTGAAGTGGAACAGTATGGACTGTCTACTGAAATTAATAGTCAGACTAAAAAATAGCAACCGATTTGACTCTTTGGAATTGATCAGCCAGCATTTTACTCGTGAAAGCTTATGTTAATAAATGATAGTCATCAAGAATTTGGAGAACCCATAAATGCAACTTGGTCTTTTGGTTCAATAAGTAACTTGAGTTATTTGTCATGCTGTTTTTCCAAGCATTAAAATTATTTGACCTTATTAAACCCGTGATCACTATGATAAGAAACGTTTTTACAATGTTCCAATACATAATTGCTGTGCTTATGGAATTTTATCATTAAGAAATCCTTTTTGTAGAAGAACTATACATTTAATGGTGTCATTCTAAGTTAGAGCGAACCATAAAAAAGTGGTCTGATTTTGAGAAATACTTTGAAATTTGAATATTTCGATATAGACACACTAACAGCAGTCTAGATTTAAATTTCTTAGTTTGGTGATGAGAGCTTTAATTTAACCGGAATATGGCTAATCTTTTTTTTACGACACAAACACTTCGATTTTAGGATAATCGATTTTCAAGTTACTTGAGATAATTTTTAAAAACAAATAATCCTATTTGACTTTTCCATTTTTAATCGAACAAAAAAAAACGTATGCATAAGTATCCTGGATATCTCTATCTCAAATATAGATGAACTTGTTTTTTTATAGCTTCCATCAACATTACGAACATTATGAAATCCTTACTATAAAAGTTTCGTCACAACT